TCTCTCTCTCTCTCTCTCTCTCTCTCTCTCTCTCTCTCTCTCTCTGCCGACACGACTCTCTCGTTACCGACGAGCCCGACGTGCTCAGCCAGGGCTCTTCTTGAGCACTTGGAGCACCCGCGTAAACTTCCCGCAGGGTTGACCTGTCTAGCAGCACCGACGCACCCCCGACACACTATCGGCTCTCATTGCACTCGTACGCGACCCAGCGCGTCCGCCGCCAGTGCCATGTTGGAAGGCAACGACGCTCCGCGCACCCTTCTTCGGCCTCTGCTCCGTGCCGACTCACCCAGGCTCGTTTCTCTCTCCTTGTCTGGCACGCATGGGCCATGAAGAGAAACGAGCGACCCGTCGAAACCCGACCCTACCTCGGTACTCATACAGGGACGGCGTTGCTTGAGAACCGCGCGGTGCTTTTCTACGCATTTCTTCGGGGCGCCGGATTTTCACCACAGCTGATGTGCGTACGCGCAATATGACGAATATAATTCGTCGTGATTTTTCGCTTTGGTAAATTGTGTCTAACGAATTTCATCCGAAGTCTTGGCCGCGGCGGCAGGCAACTTTTTTGGAACGTGCGCGTTGCGATTGTGAAAAGTGCGCGTCGCTGGTGCGGAGATTTCAGTCTAGTGAATTTCACTCGTATCAACCGTGTAATCAGAATCAGTAATAATGTAATTGAATCCAGTTCACTTATGTATCCCATAAAAAATTACTCTAGCATTTTGCGTAAAATTACCGGAAAATATGATTATAGGAATTACGGGTAGATAGGAGCTTGTAAAGGAACACTTGAGAAGTTTTCGCAAGGTTTCTCGAATAATACTTTGTTTATCAGTGCATACATATATCTTTTGAAATTCAATTATACTCTATACTGAGAAAAAATATTTGATATTTGTAACTATAATCACATAGAAAAATACTACAAATTATAGCAAAAAACATTTTTTAAATTATATTCTGACCTATATTATATTCTATGTGATAACTTCATATATTATTACTAGCATAGTTCATATGTATATTATTACTAGCATTTTTTCGTGTTGGAACAATCAAAAAATATGCCCAAAAATAACTATAATTTTAGGTAAATCAACCATTTTTCTCTCAGTGCATAGTTTTCGCCGCGATTTGAATTACCCGCTCGGTCGGCATAGCCTTGAAAGATCAGCAGAGCAGCGACTCACACACGAACGGCTCACAGTGACATCTGTTACGAGCTCGCGACACCGAGTGTGTCAGTTGGAATAACACTCATCGGTAACAAGCTGTATTGCATGAAAACATTAATTATGCGAACGATCGATCAAACTGTCTTTTAATCATCGACTCCATCGCGTAAAAGAAATCCAAGTATGCTCAGTACAAATCTGCATCCGTTGCACCTGCCGCTCTACATTGTCTGCGAGGAGGCTTTAATATATTTTTTTAATTCACAAAAATGAGAAATCACAAGAATATTCACACGACGCTTCACTATATCCAAGTACGGAGATTCGTGTTGCGTGCATTTAGAATTGCGGGAAATCGCGTGTTGCATCCCGTGCGAACGTAACCGCAGAAAGGAAAGAGAGAGAGAGCGCGGGTTGGCGCTCCGTCTCTGGCGAATTTTCACGGGCGACGCGGCGGCCGCGGAGCGGCGCCACAGTCGCAGTGTGTACATGCAGTTGTCTATATGCGAAACGTCTCGCCGCGCGCGCACCGCAGCAGCATTTCGGGTGATTTTAGCGTGGTTCATGCGCGGCGACTCGCATCACGCTGTCTCCCACAGCACCACCAGGTCCGCCGGTGTCTCGAGCCTCGGTAAGCACGTCGGTTTCACTTTACTTTTCGCGTACGACGGCCGGACGCGTTTGACATGGCGTGTGTTTGACACGCACCCGCGCGCATTCGCTCGCTCGCTCGTTCGCACGAAGTCGCTGGGATTTCGCGAGCGACGCCGTGCGCCTCTTGGTGCGACGGCGTCGTCGCGACGGTGCCCGCGGCCGTGACACCGACGCCGGGAAAGTGGCGTGGTAGCCGTCGACGCAGCACCGCGGCCAAACACGACGGGATATCCACAAGTGGTTGCGTCGCGTCGCGCGTGTCGCGTGTGTGGGTGCGTGTGCGTGTGTAGGTGAGCGAGCGGACGCACGTGTGTGCGTGCACGACGCGGCGACGACGACGACGACGACGTTTCGGGACGTCACGCCGCGCCGCGACGCAGACCACGCCGCGATGGTCTCGAGAGGATCGCTCGCCAGTCGGAGCGACGGAACGCAGGGCCGGATCTATGAGATTCGGGCGACGCGACGCACTAACAGGGGTCTTTTTTTTCCGGGAGATGCCGGGCGTCGGCGTCGATCTTCTCGCGAATATTTACGTTTTGCGAAATTGCCGTGACGACTCGCCCATGAGTATACTCGTTCGCTAAGAATTCGCTAAGAATTCGGTGCTATTCGCACATTAACGATCTGAACGGCGCGGCGGGAAAATTTGCCGACTGAATTAAGCGATTAAATGAATTCGTTTGTTCTCTCACGTGGACTCAGTTTTCAATACTAGTTTCGTTTTTAACACGTTCGCCATCACTCCATACAGCACATATCTTCAAAAGACATTCTAAAGACGTTTCTAAGAACACTCATTTATCCTAAAAATGTTTTAGAACATTCTCTGAAGATTTTGTGCTATCTGGGACGTGTCATGCGGTGTGACACGATAATTTTTATGAAAGACCTTTGTCAGTACCTTTGATTCTGTGTCAATGTAAACAGATTCTGTTATATATTCTTGCAGAAAAGAAAAATACGGTCTGTGACGGTTTCCCAGATAAACGGTGGTGGCGAACGTGTCAGAACTAATGAGAGGGTCGTTAGATACGCCGACGTTTCCGCGTGTTGACGCGAATTATTTGCTCGACGCGGAATACCATCGCGTGTTCTTTTCTCTGCGGAGAAAAGTTCGAGGTATCATCGAGGAAATATGAAATATACTTTCTCGTCGTCGCAGCAACGCGTGTGCCTCTCTTCTCCTCTCAGCACAGCTCCTATCTGCGACGAGGTTGAAATGTAACATGTGACATTTATGAATAAATTGTGTGCAACCGACGACTGACCAGACGTGTTGTTGTTGATTACTCGCTCAAAAAAAATCTCCGCACACTCCTCCGAATTTCCTGCAATTTTTTTGTTAACTAAGATTTCTTTTTTGTTTTCCGTTGTTGCAGAAGCTCCCTCGCACACTTTCGCACGTCCTCCCGTTTCTTTTTCATTCACCGTTTTGGTAAGCCCAATTTTTTATTTATCTTTCTCCGTTTATTATTTCTTTCGTGTCTTTTTCTATAAATTTTTAGTCCGTCTAGCGTGTAGCCTTCAATTATAAGAGACTCGATCGTTACACGATCATTATGCAAACGATTATTATGCGATCGCGATGCCTTTCCCCTGGCTCTACGTGCGCTCGTTTATTTTGCGTCTTCTCGCGGACGTGTGATATCACACTCGCGTCCCTCACTTCGATAAACATCGGTCAGAGGAGACTCTACCAGACAGCTCGGCCGTTTCTGCATTACCGCGCAACAACAGAAACAGAAATGCAGCTCGCGTTGCAGCTGAAAGATGTCGCTATCGGTCCCGTACTCCGACGCGCGCAGTCCCCGAGCTTCCGTGTCCGGAATCGCGCGGATGCGCATTTGTTAGGGCAAGGGTGCATGGGCAATTTAATTCAACGGGCAAGATAATAATTAATAATTAATAATTGTGACGTTTTATTGCTCGGCGCGCGCGGTGTTCATTGTTTATAATCCGCGCGCCCTGTGGCGTCGCGCGCAACGTTAACGGGAGGAAAATTGGCCGAGCGGGCAGGAACAATTGTCAGCGGATATAAAGTCGCGGGGACAGTAGTGACTTTCCGCAGCGGAGATCGCCCAATTACCATACCGCGAATAACGTCGAATTTGCGCCGGCGTGTTATCGCGCCCCGGCCGCGCGCCACGCCGGCCGGTATCGAGCGGAGAATAACATTTGCGAGGCGGCAAATCAAATTTATACGCAAAACACGATTTATCGTCAAAAAATGCGCGCAGTCGTTTCCGCCGTTGCCATAGAAAATATCGCGATATTAAAATCCAGGCGGAAAGGAAAAACAACACGCACATCAACGCGGCCGGCCGACCGACCGACGACACGCGGCACCGCGCTGCGGTCGTGTGTGTACATAATCGTGCGGAGGGAGCGAAGGGCGCATTCCACTGGCGGCTTCCCTTGCGGGAAGGACAGCGGGCGGGAAATGAAAGCGTCTCGCGCGACGGCCCCGCGTGAAAAATTAAATCGCATTTACACGGTGTCGCGTTATTTCATCGCGGGCGAGAAGCGTATCGAGATCGGGGCAAACATTTTTGGCGCCCTTTCAGACGAATTAGCCGACAACGCGCGCAGCGACAGCGGTGGCGGCGACTTCCTCTTTTTTTCGCGCGCCGTCGCGAAATATTTCACGGCGAAATTTTGCGCGACGCGGCGAAAGACGGTCCGGCGTTTCTGTCGAACGTTTCGCCCGCTCGCGAGATACAACGCGATGGCAGGGCACCACCGCAACGACCAGAGGCAGGCGGAAGGGGGCAGGGGGACAGTGGGGGCACGTGTCAGGCGAGTGTTTTACTAGCCTTAATTTCGTGTGCTTTCGTAGCCAATATGTCGGGGCAGTAAATTCTAAACTTTCCGCCGGGCTTCGTGTTTCGGCGTTGCGCGTTTTTGCGATCGCGGTTTTAACGACCCCCGGCCAACC